TCTTTCACCGCCTCCAGAAAGCTCCCAGAGGTAAATGCCAGTTTGCCATACCTCTCCAACACCACCGGCACAAATGCGTCCCTGAGAAGCAAAGACAGCATCTTCAGCATTTCAGACAACGACTTCACCTTCGACAGCTGAATCATGGCGGAATTCGCAAAGTGTTTGGTAATGTACCCGTTGTAAAATGTCTCAATCCCTCCCGAAGTTACCCGTCGAGTAATTTTCGCAAGCTTGTAAGACACATTGGTCTCAGTCCAATCCAACGTAACTTCCACGCGCATGTAATAATCAGCATTTAAAGCGTTGATACTTTTCACCTCGTCGTTGGCGGCGAGACTGCGTTTCTTCCAGGCACGCCCACTGAAGATGGATCGTAATATCGGTCCCACATCGTCCATGTGTTTTTTGACCATCGTCCAGTACTTCATTTGCGCCTCTGCGGACTCACCACGCTTCTCCCAGGCACACATCGCCTTCACATCAAGCTCGTCCGGGCAATTCATAACGAGTTGGTTTCCACCCATTTGTTTCTCCCATGAGCCGTAGTTAACCTTTTTTGGGGATGACAACACAATGACGCCCCATGACTTGGAGGGCGGATAATCGCACGACGGCTCACGGCCTTCTTTATCCACGTCGTAGATAACATACCCTTTCAGTTTGCGTTGCCGAACCAAAGCATCCATAAGATTGGCAATATCCGTCCTATCTATGTATTTTGTCACCGTTCTCGTCGTCTTGTCAAACACGTACGCCAAATCCCCTCCAAAGCAATACACCACCACTTGGAGTTGCTTATCATCGTAGTGCAGCAGCCGGTAGAGGAGGTATGAGCCGGCGTTCATCGATTTCCCGATACCGGGCGTCCCAAGCAAAACATGCCGCCCCATTTTTAACTTTGTTTGATCTTTGGTGTCCAACAATTGGTTCAGATCGCCCTGCACGATCCTCCAAACACGCCCCACCTCGGAGTTAACGTAGCAATCCTTGGTAGCTATTCTATTCTGCGCCAATGTGCACGGCCACCCCTGCTCTGAGGAGAGTATCATTAGCCTTGGGCGCGGTGCACGAGACCGGTATGCAGCGGCATCCAGTTCAAAAGTCATGCCCTTCGCCTTGTACACCCACGGCTGTGTTGGTGGTTCGCCCGCCCTCACCTCCATTTTCACCACCACCTCCTCCTCCTCCTCGCCCTGAGGAAATTCCAAGACGTGACTCCATCTCGCGTTGAAAACAGAGTCGTAAAATCCCTCCAGAATCACCGGTGCAGCTGGGACTGCTTCCCGTTTTGCTCTTTCGTCTGCCTCCGCCGTGTCAAGGGCTGATCGGAGTTTCGTCCATGAGGCGTTTGAGACGATCTCCTTCTGTTCAAATTCCTTCCAGCGTTGGAGAGTACGCACTCTGCGCTCCATAAGCCTGCGTGCATCCGCACGTAGCTTGCGTGCATCTTCAAGTTCTTCCTTCATCGCTTTGCAAGACGGCGATGCCAGTATTAGGCGCAGATCGTTCTCATTCGTAATAAATGCCTCGGGTTGCGCAACAAAATTCTCAATAGAGACATTCTCGTTGGACTCCACGACTCCTCTACCGCTCAATGTATCACGGAGGAAATCGTTCAACTTAATGCCACGAATTGGCCCTTCGCCCTCAAGCAGTACATCTTCGATGCCAGTGGCAGGTGTCCACTGCTGTTTACGTCCCTGCTCCCTCCCTTGGCCCTGTGCGGCCTGCGCGCCACCGCCGGACACGCGGCGCGGCGCCATCAGAAGAAACGATGGGTGGAGGACCCCACGCACACCGCCGGCGGGCGGCCAACGGGCGCACTCGTCGCCGACGCACAATTGCGGCTGCGGAATGCTGCGCACCCCACGCGGCCG